TGTCCCATCTCTCAGCAGCCCAGCACTACGAGCTCTTCAATTATTTAATGGAGCTTGACAGATCGAGCACGAATGGAGTATGGGAACCCCATGAAGTCAGTTAATGCCACCCCCTAGTCTTGTCCCCCCCAACTGCTACCTTAGGGATGTATAGGGTCTGAAAAATCGAGAAGGGCATCTTCACCTCGAGCGATGCTTCCTTCCATAACATCCAAGACCCCACCATTTGGCTCTAGGAGTTTGGGTTTAGCTGGGTCGGGGGCTAACCCATACGACCTCAGCACTAGCCTAAAGAAAGGGATAGAGGGAGAGCCTAGTCTAGCCCTAAAAAGTGCCTCACTCACGGCCACACACCCCGGCCTAGGATAACAGGCTCTGTCATCAGGCTCTGGTAATATCGGTTCTACACTATCAGATATCCTATATTCAGCCCTAAGTCTATCTAGATCGGCCTTCTTCGATTTCGACGAGTAATCTGAAGCCCCTCAATGTTCTGATGTATCTATCGGGCTGTCAGGTTTTCTCCAAATATTCCTCCCCTTCCAATATCGCCTCGGCGACCTTGCTCGGCATCGCCAAAATAGGCTCATCCACCCTCACCCTCACCATCTCTAAATCCCTTCCCAAAGCCCCACTACCATCCGAAGCCATCGCAGAATAGAGAAATGTGAAAAAACTTGGGAAAATACTTACTGAAACTCAAGAAACCGAGGGACCTACGATTAGAAAAGATCAACACACAATGTGATATCGTCGAAAACTGGAAATGTCGCTAGAAAACGCTTGTATAACGTCGGAAAACGCAAGAATCTTGAGAGGAAATGGATTTTTTGATTTCGCAAAAGTGAAAAACTCCCAAATGCTCAAGTCCGCATTTTATAGAGCGTCCCAACTGATTTCCACCGTTGAATTCAAATGCAATCAATCTAGGTAGTCCATCACATCATAAATTTGAGCCCTTGATATGAAACGCTAGATTTGATATACGCCCAAGATCTAGTTGTGACCCTCACGCTTGCATAAAACGCGTCGCCTCGATCACCATTAGCCGTCTACAATAAGTAGCTGCAGCAGCATTTTCTGGGAATGGGCATCGCACCCAACTGTCCCTTTGAAAATATGCGACAGTTGTCAAATCATTTGACGTCAGACATGTTCACCTCAAATCGAAATTCTCAGCTTTACAAAGCTTACACGCACCTTACGCGAAGTACTTTGTGGGTCATTGTCTCGGTGGTTGCATTCCCTCCTAAGCTTTACAAAGCTTTAGCCATCTTCCAACGCGTTGTCCCCTATGAGTCAGCGCATCGGTGGCAAATGAGCTACTCACTTAGCTTTATAAAGTTTAGATGCACCTGACACGGAATCCCCTGTGGGTCATCGCCTCAGTAGCTGCGTTCCTTTCTAAGCTTTACAAAGCTTTAGCCATCTCCCGCATCGGTTGTAAATGAGCTCCTCACTTAGCTTTACAAAATTTAGACGCACCTAACGCGGAGTCCCCTATCATCGCTTCGGTAACTGCGTTTCCTCCTAAACTTTACAAAGCTTTAGCCATCTCCCGGATCGGTCTCAGATAAGCTCCTCACTCAGATGTACAAAGCTTAGACGCCCCACGCGAAGTCCCCTGTCGGTCATCGTCTCGGTGGCTGCGTTCCCTCCTAAGCTTTACAAAGCTTTAGCCATCTCTCGCATCGATCGCAGATGAACTCCTCACTCAGCTTTACAAAGCTTAGACACACTTGACGGGGAGTTCCATGTAGGTAATCGCCTCGGTAGCTGCGTTCCTTCCTAAACTTTACAAAGCTTTATCATCTCCCGCATTGGTGGCAGATGAGCTCCCCAGTCAGCTGTACAAAGCTTAGACGCACGCATCCCCTGTCGGTCATCACCTTGGTGGCTGCATTCTCTCCTAAGCTTTACAAAGGTTTAGCCATCTCCCAACGCGTAATCCCCTGTGGGTTAGCGCACCGGTGACAGTTGAGCTCCCCACTCAGCTTACAAAGCTTAGACACTCCTGACGCGGAGTCCCCTGTGTGTGATAGCCTCGGTGGATATGTTCCTTCCTAAGCTTACAAAGTTTTAGCCGTCTCCCAACGCGACGTCCCCATGGGTCAGCCCATTAGTGGCGGATGAGCTCTTCCTTAGACATCACTGAAGCTTTAGCGCCTCAGTCGAAGATGTGTCCTGACCTTTAGCTTCATAAGTTTCAGCATCTCCCACGCGTCGTCTCTGTAGGTCCGCGCCTCGGTCAGAGATGTATCCCAATCCTAAGCTTCACAAGGCTTTGGCCTTTTCCCAACGCGCCGTCCCCTAAGGCCAACGCCTTAGGGAGAAGATGAGCACCTACCCACATCTCTTCGGTGAGTACAAAAATCGATCCACAAGCTTTCAGACCAACTACATATTTCGCCCTTCCATGCCAGTTCTCTATTACAAACCAATACAGGCATGCTAGATTGGGAAAACAATTCCACCCATGATATAAATATTCATGCCTGAACTTGAGGGGACCACTGTTACGCCCCTAGTTGAACCACTTCGAAAAGTCTACCACTGCATCATACGAGGTGTCCACCACCAATGTCCGCGTGCTGCGAGGCACAAAATAATTCTACTGAACCGACCGAAGTGTCCTTGACGTCGAAGCGCAATGCACTCTGAGGTCCTCCTTCAGCGGATTCGCCGTCACTTTCAGAAAGAGATTTGTGTCAATATCCTCTCTGCCTCCAATGCTTAATTGATTTGACGTCTCCATGGGTCTAGTTGATGTGACGTATCAACTTTATGTCAATTCAACTCAGGAAAAGTTATTATCCGCCTACTCTATAGATGCGGCTGATTGACGCCTCACATCGTGAGATGCATACACGTATTCCACATTCAACGGTTCTCCTCACCTATAAATACCCAAGGCTTGACAAGAGGCAAAGGTAGTGAAACTCTTACAACTTAGTTCTTCATAACAAGAAAATATATATTCTTCTCCCCACTCTCTTGCACAACCCGGGTACTGTTCCGATCATCGGATACTAACTTGACCGTCAGAGTATATGCGATGCCACAACCCCCACTGGTTCCGACCGTGTATGTCTGACCGTGCGTTGATTGTGCACAGGGAGAATCATGTGGAGTAGCTATTGGTTGGCCACATGGGAGATCCAATTCGCGATGTCAACAATTACAATAATTGAATTTCTTTTCTTTCCGTCTCTTTTTCTCTCTCTCTTCCTTGATGTATCTATTTGTACACCCTTATATACGTAATAACGTACAAATAGTATTACTCATCAATACCACACCACACTCTCTATAATACATAACCAGAACTGCAGATTAGAACAATGCATTCAGCAACAAGCAAGGACGAACAAAACTTTCCAGGCATATTAAAGACCACAGAGCTAGTTGATTTTCCGAAATGGAGCAAATAGGTGGAGGCTTAAAAGTTAAAAGTTACCATCCAAGAAAGTAAGTGCCGTTAATAACTTTACAAATTATATTGGCAAAAATAACTTGAGAAGTAAGTTATGACTGACTTTTTAGCACAGCCAAATATGATAAGATTATGAACATGAGCTAATTTACCTTGGGCTTCTTCAAACCCATTGGTGTACAGAATGAAGTTGCATAAACACAAAACTTTGGCATCACGTATTCAAGAAGAGCTTTAGATAACGTTTTAAAACGACGAAGGATGGATATGAACAAGATGAACAAAATAGACCAAATCTGACTTCCAACGTCCAATACTGCTCCTATATAGCTGTGTCTCACTCGGTAGATGTTTGGGGAGGCTAAGATATAATCATGGTTTTTCTTGCTTGCATGGAAGATAATAACAAGGATTATAGTTTAGACCGCTAAAGAGAAAAATTCTGAGAGGCGTATCAATTAATAAACTACATAAGAAACAAGCTTTTGACATGATAGTACTTAACAATCACAAAAATGCTGTGGAATTGCAAAACTGTGCATTGGCATACAGATATCGATAAAATTTTCGGCTAAAAGTTGCTGGGTTGATCGCTAAAGCCTCCACTGGGAACAATGACAAAAGACCATGGGTATATATTTCTCACTAGCCAACACTCCTTCCCTTCTATCTAGTACATCGACTCAATCTCACTCACCACACAGATTTACGACCCAGTTTTATTGTACATTTTCTTTTTTGCTGAACCATAGAATTACAATGTCAGGAACTGTAATTTGATTTCTTGATCAACAGCCAATAGCCCATCTGATGAAGCTAGAGAAAACGATGCATGGCTTATGGTGGTTAGTGACAGTACAGTGCTAGTGCAACTGTTGTGCCTTGGAGCTACATTGCAAGTTGCTTTGGCTGCATTGGTTGAAGATCAAGAGGCAAACTTGGAGAAATAACAACCTAAGCCTTATAACAAGCAAATTGGAAGTTGCCTACATGATTCAACCAATTATCTACTAGAAGACCCAATGCACGATCAGATCTTCCACGGACCACAAAAGGCTATGTCAATTGGTCTATCTTTCCCTCTTCTAACCTATTCTCGATTGGGTGCTCTCACTCACTGGTGGCATTGATCACGGCAGTTAAAATCACAAGTGGATTCCACATGATGGGTCAAATTTATTAACTGAGTAGAGAATGCTTCATCCATCAATCATACTATCTTCCTCATGTATTCGGAAGCAAGTGCATTTTTTGCCCCCTAAAAATCAGCCATCTACATATAACCTTCAGCACGACATCATAGTTTTCTTAAACATACAATCACCTAAACAAACGAAAAAGTTAAACCATGTGCATAATCTTAACAAGCATATAGATATAATAAATCTTTATTCATGTTTCTAAATATGACTATGAAGCCAACCAAATGATCCCATATTTACCCAAAAACTACTGTACTAATAATAGAAATCACTAGGTCTTCTTCAGTCAGCAATTATCAATTGTGCCACATATTCTTGTTATCAAGCATGGCAGTTAATTGGAATGGGAAAAGTAAGTCGCCCAATTAATTAAAATGCAGCAATATTCTACTATTAATAAACAAAATATATAAACTCACAGCAGGTGCAAGAACAGTAGAAATATCATGAAACACTAGGGCATACAGTCAGCAGAAACATGCAGTCAGACTTACACATAAATGCGGGCCTTAACGCAATATTAGCTGGAAATAAGACTAATAGCAGTAATTAGGAGAAGCACATCATCATATAATAATAGTACACATCATCTCCAAATCCCCGAAAATATAAAAAATCTATCCACGAGCCTTGAGCTCTTCGAGACGCCTAGAAAGGCCATCCTCCTCCGCCTTCTCACCATTCTTCACCGAGACGGCATGAGCGGCCGGCTGGGGGAGGCCGACCGATACCTCGAGGCCATAATCGTCCGCCACCTGCTGCATGAGACTATTAACCTCCCCTTCAGGAGTCGACAGCGAGGTGCTTCCGGCCATCGAACTCTCCATAAACCCCGCCTGCACCTCCATATTAACAAACTGCTTTTCAAACTGATCCATAGTTTCTGACATCTTCTGCAAATTCCCAGTTGCGAGGGTCGACTCGAGTGATTTGACGATATTTCCCATGGACTTCGTGATTGTGGTCATCTTAGCCTGTGTGTCGAGCCGCGCCACCACGGCATCAAGACGGGAGGACAGCCGGAGATAATTCATCTGTTCGTTGCGCTTCCGTATGGCGTTCTCGGCGTAGATTCTGGCGCCGTCCATATTGCCCTTCTCAATGGCTTTTTTGACCTTCAATTTTTCGGATTTTTCGTCCTTTTCGCATTTCCGGGCCTGGCGCTGGAGGCTTTTGATGGTGAATTTCAGTTCCATGATCTGATTCATCAATTTCTCAGTGTTTCCCATTGTTGAATTGATTTTGATTGGCGGAGAGAAAAAAATTGGGAATGGGATCAAGGGTTCTTATGAAATTTCCTTGGTATTGTATGGTTGGTTCTTGGGTCGGGTTTATATTTTGAGTGCTGGATCGAAACGGTCAAAGATATTCTTTTGTCTTATCTCATTAAAAATCTTAAAAGGGATTGAACTCCCAACGGCTCTATTCTTTGTAATGGGAGAATTACAGCCTGGATCCCAAACCTTTCAAAACATTGCAAATTCTACCCAAACCTTTCATTTCTACAGCTGGAGTCCCAAACATTTTATTTCAATTGCATCTGATGGACAAATCCCACAAAATTAAAAATTCACCTATTTTGACCAGTTAAATGAAGGATAACTCGTAATGTTGCATTTTCTCAAATAAAACAATTTAAATAATTAGATTAAAAATCAAAAAGAAAAGAAAGAAAAGAGAAATATGCACCCTAGTCCCATCAACCCATCCATCCCAACTAAAATCAAATCAAACTCACAATTCACTACCATCGCCACCACCCACTATCGACGCACAATTGTTGGTCTCGGTGCTTACCACAACCACATCTTCAGTTGATGGAGCAATACAAAGTGTGGTAATCGAAATCTAGGAAAGCATAGACCATTAATTAGTAATTGAAGTACAGTTAGGATTCAAATGGTGGACGCACTATTCTTCAAGTTTTTCTAAGCCCCGTTAGATGGCCATTATTTGTAAAAATCAATATTTTTTTTAGAAAAATATATGATTAAAAATGAATATATAGAAAAAAGAGTTTTCAAATAATTGTTGTCAAACAAAGATTGAAATTGATTGAGGTAAATTATAACCCCCATAAATGCTATACGATCTCGTAATCATAAAGTGTTAATTTTATTTTGATCATTTTAGAAGTTATAAATTGTTAAACTAGAAAAATAACAATTTCGATTTTTTATTTTTTATGAACATCCATTAACTTTGTTTTGATGTCTGAACAATGAAATCGCTAAACTGCAAAATCAAACCGAAACTGTTTTTCTAAAACCATTGGTTTGATTCCACATAGATTCGTCAACGTTTTGACTTTGAACCAAATCAAACCGATTCAAAGTGGTTTGATTTTAGATTTCAATTTTTGCAAATTGTTTCAAACCGTCAAACCTTTTACAAAATAATAATAATAATAATAATAACAATAAAAATATGAAAATAAATTAGTCTAAATTTTTATTTAATCTAATTAAAACTTAATACATTTCAGTTAAAAAGATACATCCATATTGGAAATAATTCAATTAAACTCAATTAGACAATTTTACATCTCAATTAGTTAATTAAATCATATCCAAATATCTATTAGTCATCACAATTATGAATGTAAAACTATCAAATTGGATAAAGTGTTGAACAACTGTTGCTAAACCATATTCATAGATTCTCTATTGCAATTGAGCAAACAATTAAATCTAAAATTTAATTCGAACTTACATATTTCATTTTCTTCTATTAATAATTTTCTCAAATTTTGCCTGAATTCAAGTCAGATTATGCAAATTCTTTTATTTTTTTGGTAATTTTTTTTTACATCTTTATTGGTAGTTATGTTGTTTTGTTATAATAATTGTCGAGCTCCCTTGAAGTAATTCGCTAATATTTGGATGGAGTAAACGTATTGGATGATTCACAAATAATCACAGTAGTTAGATATTATTGTATTTGAATGAAAAGAAGAAATCGTGTATTACAATTGTAGATGGACATCGTTACCATCGACTAAGAGTTCAAATATTTATATCATGTTGTTGCATTATAATGATTATAATTATATAATTTTGATTTGTAATTTTTTTAGTAATACAGTTTATGTTTTAACATGATATTTTAGACTATTATTTATGATTTAACTTATTTGATATGTATTAATATTTTCATTGTTAAACCGTGGTTTTAAATGGAATCAAACTGAAAAAATGATTTAGTTTAAAAATTGAAGTGATTTGATTTGATTTGAAAAAATTTCAAATCGCTTTAAAAGATTTAATTTGAAAATTTGCCTCAAATCGTTCAAATCGAACTGTGTTCACCTATTGTCACTAACTTCATAACGTAAAACTATCAAATTGGATAAAGTGTTGAACAACTGTTGCTAAACCATATTCATAGATTCTCTATTGCAATTGAGCAAACAATTAAATCTAAAATTTAATTCGAACTTACATATTTCATTTTCTTCTATTAATAATTTTCTCAAATTTTGCCTGAATTCAAGTCAGATTATGCAAATTCTTTTATTTTTTTGGTAATTTTTTTTTACATCTTTATTGGTAGTTATGTTGTTTTGTTATAATAATTGTCGAGCTCCCTTGAAGTAATTCGCTAATATTTGGATGGAGTAAACGTATTGGATGATTCACAAATAATCACAGTAGTTAGATATTATTGTATTTGAATGAAAAGAAGAAATCGTGTATTACAATTGTAGATGGACATCGTTACCATCGACTAAGAGTTCAAATATTTATATCATGTTGTTGCATTATAATGATTATAATTATATAATTTTGATTTGTAATTTTTTTAGTAATACAATTTATGTTTTAACATGATATTTTAGACTATTATTTATGATTTAACTTATTTGATATGTATTAATATTTTCATTGTTAAACCGTGGTTTTAAATGGAATCAAACTGAAAAAATGGTTTAGTTTAAAAATTGAAGTGATTTGATTTGGTTTGAAAAAATTTCAAATCGCTTTAAATGATTTAATTTGAAAATTTGTCTCAAATCGCTCAAATCGAATCGTGTTCACCTATTGTCACTAACTTCGTAACATCCAAGTAAATATTTATCTAGAATTCAAGATTCTATAAAATGAACGGAAGAGCACGAAGATCTTATACAATAAGTTTAAATATTAAATTATCGATCCAGTGTTGAATGTGCTCACTCCCACCAATGCATACAAAATATTCTCATTGCGACGATGCTCATTCGTTTTTATCATCATCACCTCCTTCAACTTGCCATACGAATATTCAGTATGCAAATTGCAAATAATGCTCATGAGTGGAGCTACTGGATCAAAGGAAAATACATATTGATTCTTTCTCTTTCACAGAATTCAATGCTGCCTTGTTTATTGTGCCTCAAAAACGAAGATTTCTAGGATAGCCCAAAAACGACTCGACAAAAATAACACGGTCAGCACCTCGTGTCCTCCATGCTTATGTGTCAATTTCAATGTACACCTTTCCCTTGCTTTCGTTTACGACGACACCTGTTTTGTGTACTTTGTCTCTACTAGGCCCCTTCTGCTCTCTTTTCTCATTTATTTATATTCCTTTGCTTTAATAACAAGACCGCATAAAACCTGATCAGAAATAAAATAGATTTACACATTTTTTGTTGAAAATGAATTATACATTTAATTTTGGTTTAAATAGGGAGGGCCCTTTTGGTTTTCAGTGGCGTTGAAGCTTATTTTATTGATTTTCATAGATTTTTGTTGGGTTTACAGTGGAAGGTTTGAAAATGAGTGGGAATGAGAGGGAAGAAGAAATTGTGTTTGAGATTTGTGTGGTGGTTCCAAAGAAAAGTGAAAAGCAAGGGGACGAGAGCAGTCTTGATTGTGTTGAGGTTCTTGCTGATGAGTTCAAGAAAGGAGGACTAATTGTTGAAAGAGTTATTGGCCTTCAAAATGAATTTATCAAGGTTTGCCCAATTTTATTTTTCCTCTCTTCGCTGTTGATTTGGATTTATGTAGTTTATTGGGAATTAATTGCATTATTCTGATCTCAAGTTTGTCTGACCTGTTATCTTCTAATTTGTTAAACTTTTCGGTTCATGCATCTGTTAATCTTATGAGAATAATTATGTTATTAGTTACAGGTAATCACATAATCTTTTCTTAGGTAAATCATGTTCATTTTACAGGTCGATTCTGTCTGTTGTGTGCACTTTTGCAAATAGAGAAAATCTTTAATTAATAATCAACCATTATTTATTTTTATTTTTTATTTTTTTGGGGTCCGATTGCTAGTTTTCCATTTTGTATTTTTCAGTTGTCAGCACCATTGGAGATTCTGGGGAAGGCTGCGGCTGAGTTGCAATTCACAAAACGAACTCATATAGGTAGCAGTCATGCAGTACTCATTAGTCTTTTGCTTATTGTGCTTCCCCAGCAGTGTGCGTTTATATTTACCTAGAAAATCTTGATTGCCTGTTTGGTAGGAAGAAAGAAAAAGAAGCTAAATTTATTCGCATTCTGTCTATGTATAAAACGTGCACTGAACGTCCTGTGCTTATTTCAGGAATGGATTTGCCATTTGAATGGGATGAGGTAGAAGCCTTTGTTAGGCAACCTGATGGATCCTTGTTCACTTGGTGTGAGCATTTCCGTTGCTACAATCACATAATATACGGGATTGTGAGTTATTTATATTCTTTGTGCACGGTTTAGTATTATTCTTGATGCTTAATTTTTTTCATTGCAAGCACATGCAAAATAAGATGAATATTTTATAGATGAAAACAAGCGGAAGAAGCTCCTAAGAAGTTGGGCACTGAACTGGTGGGACTTTACAACACAGCCAATTGACGAGATATATTTATACTACGGAGTGAAGGTAAATGTCAAATGGTGTTGGTAGCTGTACTTTTGCTACATTCATTTATAAGCTGCTCCTTAATATTCATTTTCTTCATAGTAAACCACATTCACCACATTCATCTCATTTAGTAACTGTGAATGTGTTGTGCTTGTAGATTGCCATCTACTTTGCTTTCCTCGGAAAGTACACAAGGTGGTTGTTGTTTCCAGCTACATTAGGACTTACAATGCAGTTGGTTGATTTTGGGTAGGCCATATTTAACTTCGTCTTATATTAGCATTTCTATTAAGATGGATTAGACAATACTCAACAATTTAAATAAGAAAAGAAGTTAAAATGTTGCTTTACACCCACAAGTACTATCGAATATTGTACACCAGACGTGGACATCTATGTCAAATTTTGTGCTTTTTATTACTCTTATTGAGGGATGCTTTCTTTTGCTTTTTGTTAACCCCAGGTCAATACAACTTTTGGTTCTCCCTATTTTCTTCATATGCCTGATTTCTTGGGCCGTGTTGTTTTTCCAATTCTGGAAACGAAAAAATTCAGCTCTTTTAGCTAGGTATGTGTAATCCGGTTTTTGAACAGCTATAACAGTTTCCATCTGATGTGGATACTTTTAATTGCATTTCTTTACAAATATCTTTTTGCACTCATGTTTCCACATCCTGTTGTGTTATCATGTCCGGATGATACAGGTGGCATATTAATCATTTGGCGGGTACAGAATCGGATTATAAATTTTTCCAAGTGGAACAGAGCTCATTAACATCCCCTGCAGAACTTATGATGAAAAGAGGGATGGATAGTATGAAAGAGAAAGCATTCTTCCAAAGAGAAGAATGGTTCAGATGGTTGATGAGATTTAGAAATGATGCCATTATTATATTGAGTATCATATGTCTCCAGCTTCCTTTTGAATTGGCTTATGCTCATCTCTATGAAGTTATTGGGTCTGACTTCTTGAAGTGAGTTACTTGATCTCATTAATTCCGTGATGCTTTCCTAAATATATCCACCCAACCCCTCAGGACAAAGGACAAGAAACTCCTTATGTAAGTGGTAGAATACTTGGCCCTAGATGTTTTTTGTTTCCTACAATTGTTCAGGTTCCAAAATGGCATGGCGGAAAAGGATATCTGTGGATGACCCTAGATTTATTGTGAAATTAAAAGAGAAAATTTCCAGTTTGCGTAATTGAGTTTTCGTCCTTGCTTTGATGGTCTGTCTAAGCTGATCAAATCAGTGAGGATAAAAATGTTAGCTTTAATTTACGCACAATATTTATTTATTTATTTATTATTATTTTTTTTATGAATCTTACAACTTGGCCCTTGTTTGACAACCATTATTGGGGGAAAAAGTTTCAAATAGTAATTTTTATGAGAATATGTGGTTAAACATTAGGGAAAAGTTTTGGATTTACTTGTATAATAAAATTATGTGAATGTGTGGTTAAAATGAGTACGTAGAAAAAAGTGTTTAAAAGTAATGGTTGTCAAACTGGAGCTTAATATGATGACAAATTTCTCTTTCTGAAAGTTTGCAATGAAAAATGGTGTATGTTACATTACAGTTTTGTTTGATTCTTAATGAATGATATGTAATATTTGCTAACTCAAATGCTGACTGCATTTGTTCATTATTATGAAATTCATGTTTAGATGAACATAACGAAAAAGAGTCTTGCTTTATATGAGATCCAACTTCTTTCTTCCAGTTCTTCTTCACTGGGTCATGCATGTATAGCCTTTAACTGGTTCAAGAGAGATTAAAACAAAGAAGTATCTAAAAAATAAATGCTAGTAAATTGTTCTCTCATTTATAACAACTTACATCTCATTTCATATGGTATTAGAGAAGGTTGATGATCTTGAGTTTGTCTTCCCACCACTCATTAGGAAAAATTCCATGCATAGGTTCGAGGAAATAAAATAATTAAATACCAAAATTATTTATTAGTTTGAAGCTTTTACATGGGAAGTCATTTGTAGGTTATGGTTTTGGAAACAACTGTTGTTAAATTCAGAAACTCGTTTTTATGAAAATGATTTTGGCGTTATGACATCCTTTCAAATGCATTTTTTCCAGGTTTTGTCTGACAGCAGTTTACCTCCTTGCAATTCAGTACTTCACCAGAATGGGGGGAAAGATATCAGTGAAGCTTGTTAAATGTGAAAATAATGAAAATGAAGAGTATAGAGCTCGCAGTTTGGTCTACAAGGTAGACAAAAGAAATCTATATATCTCCTTGTCGTTTAATGTATTTTTAAGTCCTTTACTTACCTTTTCTTCCTCCAGGTGTTTGGTCTTTACTTTATGCAGACATATATTGGAATATTCTACCACGCTCTATTGCATCGCAACTTAATGACCCTTCGCCAAGTATTAATCCAGCGTCTAATTATATATGAGGTGAAAAAATATAGTGGTCTTTTTGCCATTTCTCTATCTGTATTTAACTCTTGTAGTTACATATTTCTATGCTGGAACTGTGCCTAAGGTGCTGGAAAATCTGATGGAGAATTCTATACCATATTTGACATATAGCTTCAAGAAATTTAGAGCCGTCCGGTAAACATTTTCTTTATCAATTTTATCGTTTGACTGCAATTTAAATCATATTGATTAACTTACCAAAAACAAACTGCTTATCTCTGAAGGAACAAGCAAAAGCGTGAACGAGGGTCATCTACAGGGAAGGTACGGTGCTTTCCTAGGGTAGAGAAGGAATATCTGAAACCTACTTATGCTGCAAGTATTGGCCATGAACTTGAAGATGGACTCTTTGATGGTAATGTATAGAATTTTATGTATCTTAGCCCCTGATTGACAACTAGCATTTTGGGGAAAATAGAGTTTTGAATGGTGATTTTTCGGAGAATGCGTAATTAAAAACTAAAAAGTAGGGAAAGTTTTGGGTTAACGTGTAGCATGTTTTATTGTGCGAATGCATGGTTGAAAATGAGTATGTGGAAAAAAGAGATTGAAAATAATGGTGGTCAAGACATGGGCTTAATAATAAGACGACAATATGGAAGAGGAGAACTCATCTACTCATTGAGATTGATTCTTCTTAATATTTGATTTGAGCTGGTGGTCCTTACCACTTAGGTTGTATGCATGCGTGATGAACTATCTCATCTAAAAGCTTAAGCTATTGAAGAGACGTCGCATTTATTTGTTTAAATTTTGTCTTCGACATGCACAGTCTTCATAAGTAGGTGGAGACGAATCTTAATTCAGGTCTTTTGCATACTTTGATATCATGTTGAATCACCACATCTAAACTATGAAGGACATATTTTAAATTTAGTCTATACTACTACAGTTTAGTGTGTTGCATGCAGAATCAATGCTGTAATAAAAACTCAAAAAGCCTTTTCAATTCTAATACAATTACTATGTCCTAAGCTATTAAGGGCCTGCTTTGTGGGGCTTTTGCTTTATATGGAAGAGCTTTTTGAGGAAGCTACTATGAGCGAGCTTCCTCTAAAAGCTCTTCCAAGCCAACGAACCACTCCTAGGAAATTATTGAAACAGGCTGAAGTTTCTTAGTCTCACAAGTAGTTTTTGAGTTTTCAAAACCTCCTTCAAATATGCCTTTAGCCTCTTGGAGAAGTGCTTCAATGATGTAACGTATTGCATTGACTCTACTTTATATGTTTCATTTTAAGGTGAAAATAAAATGAACATCTTTATTTTTTCTATTTCTTCAGACATTTAAAAATCTATGACTGCTAGCAGATTTTCTGGAGTTAGTATTGCAGTTTGGGATGATCATGATGTTTGCTTGTGCATTCCCACTAGCTTTCGCCTTTGCCACTCTGGTACAATGGAATTTTTCATTCTTTCCTAAAAACAAAGTGGAAGATGGGAGATCTTTTTCTTTGTGTCAAACTATAATAACGGCTTATATTGCATGCTTGACTCGAGCAGAATAACCTGACTGAGATGAGGACAGATGCACTAAAACTACTAGCCATGATGAGACGGCCTACACCTCGTGGTGATGCGACCATTGGAGCTTGGCTAAATATATTTCAGGTAGTAATTGTTAAACCACTTCTTCTACAAGCTCAAGCTTTTAAAAGAGGGATAATCTAAAAGCTCAAGCCATTAAAGAGGAGCATATTTATTTATTTAAATTTAGATTTCAACACGGCCCCTTGCATGCAAATCAAATTCATTTTTTTATATCAATGACCTGTTGCATGCACAATTTTTATAAATGAGTGAAGAGACAAGAACACAGGGCCATCTAACATCAAATCACCTCATTTAAAAGCTTAATTGTTAGATAGGGAACACATTTATTCATTTAAATTTAGTCTACAAAATAATTTCTCTACGCCTGGACCACACCAGCATTTATCAGTTTTACTTTACTTTTACACTCCCCTTTTTTGTAACTCTGGCCCGTATCTTCAATTTCAGTTCCTGATAGTGATGTCAATTTGCACGAATTCGATCCTCCTGGTGTGCTTGTATGATCAGGATGGAGAATGGAAAATATCGCCTGGTCTTGCGGCCATTCTCATAATGGAACACATACTTTTGTTCATTAAATTTGGATTTTCTCGAATTGTCCCTGAGGTATGATATGTTGAAATTCGTTTTATACTACTCACTATAGATAAAAAATTGTCAACTGTCCCACTGTGTGGAAATGAACTGTATGCTTTATTTTTATTTTTTGACAAATAGGAGCCTGCTTGGGTAAGAGCTGCACGACTGAAAAATGCTACTCAGGCAGCAGAGATGTGTTCTAAGCAACTCTTGAGGAGTATATCAGGCGATGATAAGATTCTTAGCCCAATGAAAAAGCATGCATAGGGTGGGAGATATACTGTCTGTACGAGCCATAAGAAGGGAAACCTGGACAGGCAAAATAGAGCATCAACTCTGATATTAAGTCGGGGGTTGAAGATAATCTGTGCAAACATTAACTTTCTTCTGTATGGATAAAATGGTGGTGCTTCGTGTTATATATCATTTTGATGAAGCTCTGTCCATGGTGTAACATATGCTTGCACACGATAAATCTTGGTTTTTCAGGTTATGAGTTGAAGAGTAATTTGTACTCAGAGATGGCATCTTGGTACATCAAATTGGACAGGATCGTGTAGAACTCACAAAAATGTATGCTCACTATCCCGAGTTGCCAGTCTTTTGTTTGAAGAATGTAATATGCTATTCTTTTTTGAGCTGTCATATTGCTATTCTTTGACTGTATTAAAAACATAAATTGCTTTCAAATGGAATCTCGTTTTGCCAATTTTTTGATTGAAGAATGTTATATAGCTAAAAATATAAATTGATGCCCATCTTAATTTTGATATATTATGTTTTAAGTAATGCTATTTAGTACTACTCATGTTAGCACTGGCATTTAAATGTCATTAATTTATAAATCATTTTAAAAATGACAAAAGTGCAATTCAGACTCGCGGGTGCTTAGTAACTGTCTGTGGCAGTGGAGTCGTTCACTTTGTCCAATTTAAGATAATGCTGAGTCTCATTTAAGACGAGATGACACTATATATATCACCTATCAACACGTCGTATCAAACATGTCTCGCACCAGAAGCATATATTTCAGTCATTAGTCCTCAATTGATAACGTCTATGAAGAAATAAAACTCAAATGATAATGGAACAGATAATTTCTACAATAATGGTAATGCCAGGCCGATGTGGCTCTGGTAATGTAGCAAAGTCTTACTATATAAGATGTGTTTGATGCAGAGGTAGATAAGAAAGTGTACTCAACTAAAGAGAGTGGTTTTAGCATGAAAGGTGTCAAACTATTCAGTCGTAAAAATCATGTATGATAAAAGGAAATCGGGTTTGGCATCGTTTCAGAACCGTTGGATAATAAATTCCCAAGCGTGGATTGTACTTTCGTATTTAAAAATCACCTAAAACTGGACTTCCTGTAAGTTCAAAAACGTTTTATCTACTACTTCACTTTCTAACAGCCTGCCTATTCCTCTTCTTGACACCAGACTTGGCAACAAATACATGATTTATTTTCTCCACCAAAAATGAATAACAGAAGCTAGACTAATAATCTACAATAACATAAGATATCTTGTTACATTCAAAACCATGCCAGGAAGCACTTTCATCTCCTGGAATTTGATCCAACTTAGCAAAAATGACATTTCTGTTTCATATAACCCAACAACAAGACTATTGCAACGTCCACCACATGGCCGATTTATTGAGGATTGTCAACTGAAAGTCGAACAGGAAGAACTCATTTATCGTGCATTGCTTCCATATGGAAAAATAAACTACTTCCATAAAATATGGACTTGTGTGTTCTCAATGAACAAGAATTAAACTAGTCGATAAACAAGAACGTGGTAGCAAATAAGCGAGGCAAATAAACTCATCAACAAAATAATTCCATATAGAAGATTAGATACCTGGTTTGAAATGGCCTTAGACATACGGGAAAACTGTTTCATGACAGATTTGTTGAGCAAACTGGTAGGCTTGTTCTGTGTCTTGATCTTTGTTGTTGCAAGCAGTACAGTCTGACCTTTTCTGGTTGAATGGTCACTGTTTCCTTGTTTGCCAATCCTATATATGATCATTCACGGAAAATATTACAATATGCCATCAAACGACGAGTCATATTGAAATCGCCTGCGTGGTTTTATCAAGCAAGTGAATGTGATCAATGGCAGAAATTGGCCTGATCAGAACAGCAATGCAGTTGGTCCATCGAGATCTTCTCCCTTCTCCCTTCTAAGTAGTTTTGATACTAATTGTACTTTACACTTGATTAGTTTTTTACTGTGGCTAAGAGGCCTATTACTGTAGAGATGTTAATGTATTTGAAAATTAGTATGACTAATGCATACGTCGAGTTGAGAAATTAGTTAACATATGAAGCCAGCAGCATCAGTTCCCTTAATCTGTTTTCTTCCCATAATTTTGAGGACTAGTTTGGTCAACACATGATTTACACACTATCACTGCCGAGTCCTCGCTTGCCTCAAACTAGCATTACTGTACTATTAGGATAGACGGCTAGGGTAATTGAACCCACTAAGGATGGAAAACTTCCCCTATTTTACCCATTGTCGTCTTTTCCAAGCTGAGATTCTCTCTCTCATTTTCTCCAGCAGAGGAATTTATTCTCTCGAGAGACGGGAACATCCAGCTACTTGATAGGAAAATCACCATTTTTAATTCCTCTTCAATGATCTGGAATTTTTATGAGTAGCAGATTGAAGGGTAATTGTTGATATTGCAAAAGACTAGGGCTGGATGACAACTCCCTCTCCTATTCAATTTCTTGATTTCATCGCTTCACTTTCATAAATAGTTGAATCCCACTTTCGTATCTATCCTGCTGCTGGATTCCACAACACTAATTATATTTCACACTTCATAAGTCTCATAGGGTGATCAAGCTGAGATGTCAATTACTGTACAGTCTCTAATACTAGGTAATTTAGGAATAAATCAAATGTGTAATAAATGTGTATTTAAGTATCAGATTGCATGTGATTATTGAGAATCCTAACGGTACTTTACCATAAGATTATTATTATTATTTTATTTTAATGGTGATTAAGCAAAGAGGTCCAATACGTTACAAAAACTAATGGTATAAGATAGATGTATTAATACGGTTTATATTTGACACTGTGAATCTTGGATGACTCAGAGAGTGTTATTTCCACTGAAATATCAGTTGTGTGAGTTATGTCATGTATATAAATATTATGTCACTTGTACAAATAAACCAGTGTGATATTAGGACACAGGCAACATGAAAGATAATCCCCACATGATCCGGCTCCTCGATTGATACAATGGATGCCGACATTTTTGATAGGTTACTAGTTGGTAAGCTAAAGTAATGGAGGGTAATATGGAAATTTAGTAGAATGAATTGTATAGACTTCTTTAGGGGCGGATTCCGAAATTTAGAACGCAAGGGCTAGAATCTAAGAAAGTCAATATAATAAATTTATAAATAATATTAAAAGTCTTTTTCATTTAATTTGAAGTTATTTTCGAGGAAGTTTTGAAACATAAGATTCATCTACAACAAAATCTATATTAGTCTTCTTAGTAAATTATCGTTCGATCAAAAGTGTCATATAATATGAAAGAAAGTCACGATCTAGATGCAAAGATCCGTCTTCACATGTTTCATTACTGAAAATTCCTAATCTTCTTGATAAGAATTTGTCCTTTAATTTATAAATTCTTAAATTCAGGAAAAAATTCATTAATAATAATAATTCATTAAATTTTAAACCTACAAGGCAACAACAATTCTTTCATTTGTCGACAAGCTAAAATTTGATAGACTAGAAAACTTGACAGATAAATTTTAGACATACACGTAGAAAAAAGGCAGATAAATGTTAAAAAAAAAAAAGGAGTGAAAACTATAAATCCCCCCCTCCCCCCGCCCCAATTGACAAAATTTCTTTCTTTCATGGAAATAAAAGAAATTTGATATACAAGGATGCCATCGAAATTCATTTTACCACATAAATTTGCCAGTTGCCACTTCATATATAATTTTATATCAGCTTGGCGCTCTTGCCAAACAAAAAATTTAATGATACATACTGTTTCGCGCGGGTTAGTAAATAACAATTAAAAAGGGATCAGACGATTGTGTAAGGGACAAACCTCTTGAGACAAAGTCCCAAAAATGGGCGTTTTTATTGGCGATGACTTTATAATTGGAAAAATAAAACAGAATGCCTCCAAGGGGCGCAAGCACACGAATTACTGAAAAGAAATGTTTTAAATCTAAACTAAAAAATTGAAAGTTACATATTCTCTGTTTGAGAGTGTTTGATTCGGGGTCTTTTGCTCCATGTCTTTTCTTCCTTTTATACTCCCTGGATGATCTCTTCGTGATCAACCGCTTAAAAACTGCTTGATCGCTCTATAACTGCCTACTTTCTTCATAGTGGCCAACTTGTCACGGAATTGTCTTCTCTAACTGCTGCCATTACTTTTTGTCGTTCAACCGTCTTCGATTGAATTCCTTGAATCGTGGAACGTGATAGGGCTACTCAATAACTGCTTCATTAACCGCACCTTTGGGTAATCATAACATCTTATGTTTGCTAAGATCCTGGGCGACTCGAAGGTTTGGGCGAGAACAGGGTCACAGTTCTGGGCGACTGCATGGCAATCCATTCGCTCAAATCTTGGGCGACTTGTAACCTTGGACGATGGTATTACCGCATTTATGGGCTTCCCTATTTGGGCCTTTATCCTGCATTGCCTAATTGGGCCGTTCTTTGGGCTATCTGATTTGGGGATCCTCCAATTGGGTTTCATTCCTTGGGCTATTCGATTTGGGCTGAACTTTTGTGTGTCAACAATTACCCCCCAATATGGCAGAATTAATACCAATTATTAATTTTTGCCATATTCACTTTGTGTTTCCCA